CCCCTTTGGCAGTAGGAAACACATAGACTATTATGGAGATTGATTTTGGAATTCAGATGCACTCTTATTGATTGTGCTTGGCTGTACATGTACATATCCTTCAAGATGTATCATGGGGGTGTTGCAACCTAGAAGACACAAATTTGACTAACAAGTTATAAGTACATGAGTCCAAAAATTATGGAAAAGTAAAAGAAAAGATTCTTTCATTGTTTTACAAACCCTCCCCCAGGTCCCCTCCACCATGCAGCCCTCGCTCTAGTCTCCTGTGATGACAGAAATACCCAGTTACATCTCTCTTTTAAACGGTTCTCTCCCTCCTCTGTTTCAGTGCAGTATACATTATTGAACCCATCTTACTCAGTCTCTCCCCAACCCCAAGGACAGTCCCATTCTACAACAGTGGCATCATGTAATATTTGTCCTTTTGTGACTGAGATATTTCACTCAGCATAATGTTCTCCAGAGTCAACCATTTTGAATAATATTGCATGAGTTCCTTGTTTTTTAATGCAGCATAGTATTCCATTGTGCGAATATACCACAGCTTCTCTAGCCATTCGTTTGTTGATGGGCACTTAGGTTGTTTCCAACTCCTTGCTATTGTGAACAAAGCTGCAATAAACATGGGTGTGCATATATCTGCTTGGATGTCAGCTATGGTCTCTTCAGGGTATATTCCCAGCAGTGGAATTGCTGGGTCAAATGGTATCTCTATTTGCAACTTTTTGAGAAAGCGCCATACTGCTTTCCACAGGGGTCGCACCATTTTACACTCCCACCAACAGTGAATCAGGATCTCTGACATACTTGAGCTCATTCGTATGGTCACTGTTTCAATCCAGCTTGCTGAAGGCCTTCCTCTCTTTCGCTGACACTTCACCCTTTTAAACATGAAGTTTCTTTCCAAGTATTGGTACCCCTGGATGAACAGCACATGATTGAAAAGAATATGGCTTCAGTTAGGTGCACCTTAGTCTTTAAACCGAGCTCATTATACCTTAGAGAGGTCTTTGACAACAGATTTTTGCAATGCAATGTATCTTTTGTGTTCTTTTTTTTATTGGTTTGCTTACAAAGTTTGTATACATTGTGTTTCACACTATTTTTCATTCACATTGATTCATAAAATCATTCTCATGCATACTGTTTTATTAAATTAATCATCATTGAACCTTGCCCATCATTACCCTGTCTTTTCACTCAGATCCTTCCCATTTAGTTCTCCTCCTCCCCTGACCCACTAAACTATGTAATCCTGCGGTTTCATCCCTACCTATCTTCACCACTCCACTTCTTCCCAATGAGTTCCCATTCATGTTTTACTAGTTATCCTTTTATTTTTATAATAATGGTCTTTTTCTTGACTGCTGATACCAGGAGTGTTGACTGTAGATTCAAACAAGATGAAATTGCTGACAACTTTAATCTTTCCTCCATCTATCATCTAGGTGATACAACAGAATGTGGGAAATACTGAACAATATCACATGCAAATAAAATCTTGGCTAAAGATCAATTTCAAAATGGCTAGAACAGTACACTGACAGAGAATTGGAACAGGTTCAAGCTGAGTTTAGAAGAGACCATGACACTAGGTATATCACTGTTGATGTCAGATAGATCCTTGGCTGAAAGCAGAGAATACCAGACGAATATCTATTTGTATTTTATTAACTATGCAAAAGTATTTGACTGTGTGGATCATAACAAACTGTGGCTAAATGAGAAGAATGGGAATTCCAGAACACTTAATTGTGTTTCTAGAAAACTTTACCTAGACCAAGAAGCTGTTGTTTGAACTGCATGGTTTAAAGGAATAAAAAGGTGTGTGTCAGAGATTTATCTTCTTTTCATACTTGTTCAATCTGTATGTTGCACAAATCATTTGAGAAACTGAACTTTATGAAGAAGAATGTGGTATGAGGATAGGAGGAAGACTCATCAAAATCTTCATAGGTAGACAACATAATCTTGCTCAAAGTGAGGAGGACTTGAAATACTTGTTGCAGAAGATCAAGGACTATACCCAGCAACATGAAATACATCTCAACCTCAAGAAATCAAAGATACTCACCACTGGGTCAATAGACAGCATCATGATAGATGGAGAAACAATTGATGTTGTCAATGACTTCATCTTGCTTGGATCCACAATCAACATCATTGGTACCATCAGTCAAGAAATCAAAAGATGTATTGCACTTACCACTGGCAATAAGAGAGATGCAAATCAAAACCACAGTGAGATACCATCTCACTCCAATAGCACTGGGAAAGTTTAACAGGACAGCAGGTAATGTTGGAGAGGATGTGGTGAGATAGGAACTGTTATTGGTGGTGGTGTAAAATGGTACAACCACTTTGGAAGCCAGTTTGGCCTTGCGCAAAAGATGAACATAGAAATTCCGTATGACTCAGCTATTCCACTGTTTGGAATATACCCAAAAGAATAAGAACTGAGCCACAGATGGAGACTTGTACACCAATGTTCATAGCAGCATTATTCACCATCACAAGAACATGGAAACAGCTCAAATGTTCAACCACAATTGAACGGATTGAGAAATTATGGTACATTCACATGATAGAATACCACACAGAAGGCAGGAGCAATGATTATGTAAACCACTACCTAACTTGAGAGGGACTGGAGAGCATTATGCTAAGTGAATTAACTCAATCCTATAAGGACAAATACTGCATAAGACCATTATTATAGAACAAGTATGAGGATCCACAGGGGATGAAGGTGGGGGCAGAGAAGTGAGGATTGGTGGCAATGCAGTAATCATAGGGTCATACAATTTGATGGGTCGAGTGAGGGATAGGTAAAGGAAATGGGAAAGATCCAGTGTGAAAAACAATATATACAAACTTTGTAAATAAACTACTA